GAAAATAAGTGAAACTATGGCAGGGAGGCTGCCCTGATGTGGAGATGATGCTGCGAATGAAGAAGGTTATTCTTCTGTTTGCGCTTACAATGAAATCGTACGGGTATGGCATTGGTCCACTGTATTCGTTGCTGCAGAATTTCAGGTAATTACTCCCATTTTCTTATTATTCACCAGTCTTTATCCAAGTTTTTATTTCCCAATTGCACGTCAACCCAAGCGGTGTAGTTGAGATTGGTACCACTTACTTTCCATCCTATTTAAAAATCAAAGCCCGTAGAGGGTCGCGCCTAGGACCTATTCTACCATTGCTCTTTGGTTGATAAATTGATTTTGAAGGAGAGGGAGGATTGGAACTAGCTCATTTTCAGCGGCATTGCAAGCAGTCGTATTGGCATATGGTATTCAAATGCCACTGCTATCCTGAATGGAAGCAGAATGCCCGGCGCGTCTCTAGAGGGGGTCGACAAATGTCCAGTGTTCTTTTATCTTCGATTTGAGCCAAAAATGCGTTTTGCTCGGTTTTTAGTGGTTTCTGATGCAAACAAAAGTGGTACCAAACTTGTCCACCCATGGTCTTCATTTAAATTGTGAACCTGGTTTACAGAAATTGAAAACGATTACATTTTACAGAGACCAGTACAATGAAATCTTAATGAGTGAGTACTGTGCTCAGTTTGAGCGAGATCTTGAAAAGGATAACTACGCACCGATAAATGTCGAAAACGAGGAACAGTTCCGAGCGATCATAAAGGAGTTCCCCTTCTACAAAAGGAGCATGGAACAGGTTCAGTTTCCACTCAGCCTTAAGTTGGCCGCTTTCTAGATAGTCTGAACTTGGATACATTCTATCTCAAAATCGTGACTAAACCGTAACGGTGAAACAGTTGAGCTCGAACGCGTTTTTTTACACTGAGAAATACAGCAAGTTGCAGGAACCGTTTCCTCGGAAGTTTCCTTACTCTCGATTTGTTGTGTCTGCTTATTCCAAGGCCAAGTTGTACCTTCAAGGATGTTTAAAGTTCATGGAACATCTTCAGCTGACCCACTCTGAAATGGATGATACCGTGAGAAGGTGTGCATACTCTTTTTGCGACACACTACTTGTTTCCATTTCTTTAATTTGCTTTTTTAGAATTCTTTGTGATATTATAGATATGCGAACGTGTTGCTTTCTCGTTGGTCTGGAAGTTTGAAGTCGTTTGTGGAGAGGAAACTTTCTCTAGTGCAGGTTTGTTTCAATTTTTGCTATGGTTTTTGAAGGCTGACATAGGTAATAACTTCTTTGCAGTTGGTGCAAATTACAATCAACATTGGCTACCTGGAAAAATCATGCGAATCTCTGGGAGTGTATATCACAAAGTTAACGAGCGGCAACGAACTGAATGTGTCAATGACGGCTCATCAGCTCTCTTTGACGGAGCGAGTGTTTCGGGATGCCAGAAGCGAGGTTCTCCTAAATTGCTGTTGGCCGTTCCTCCTATTCTTTGGTCACTGTATGTTCTTTTCAGGTGGAACAGCAGATTGAAGTGTGCATTCGAGATAAGGTTGACGCCTTCATCGAGTTGGCACAGTACGACTGGGAGCTTCCTGCTTCATCAGGTGCTTATACTCTTCTTTGGTCTAGGTTTTAATATATTTCAAACAAAAAGGATGTTTCCAGGTCACGCTTCCGACTATATTAGCGACTTAATTAACTATTTATCGACAACATTTCTATCTTTCACAAATCTTCCCTCGGTTTTGGCTCGCCACGTTTGTATGCAGGTGCAAAATTTACACTTTTTTCACTTCACACTTCTCTCACAATAAGCAGTTGGTAATTATCGCGGGCTTTTCTGTTCACGACATGTTTTACAGACCTGCAAGCATTTGTCGTCACGGCTCTCGGATGTGTTACTGTCCCCGGATGTTAAGGCTATCTCCATGGGAGCCTTAGAGCAGTTCAGCTTGGACGTTATGCAGTGTGAAATGTTCACAGCGAGATGTCCCGTTGCCGGTTTTGACCACAATACGCTTCCAATGACCTTTGCACACTTGAGGTTGGTTTAGCTTTTGTTTTTCTCTTGTTCTAGTGCTCCTCAATCAGACTAGCCTTCCGAAATCTAGTTGTAATTCCTATGGATGAGATTCCGCAAAGGGGTCGCAAAGAGCATGTTCTGGTCCGGTTTTTGAGTCTTCAAAGTTACAGTAGTTTTGTGGCGGCCACGCTGTTTTTAAATGATTGCACTGATTTAGGCAGTTGTTAGAGCTTGTAATGAGCAACGACTGGACCTCCTACCTTGCTGAATATGGGCAAGAGAACGGGACGTATGTTCGTGTTAACCCGACCACGGCAACGCAACTTCTAGAGAAGTATGTACTCAATAAGGACTCACCCGTTAATGTTTTCTCTACTATCATTTCTCAACTTTTCTAGGATGATCGAATTTGAGAAGAAGAGTGCCGGTTTCTTCGGCATCAACAAAGGCGATCGAAAGAAGCTTTTGGATACCATTATTCGACAGTTACGAGCGTTATCTGCGCAATAGTGTCTTTAATAAGTTAGAGTGTATTTATTGTTCTATGAAAATATTTAAATTACGTGTAGTTCGAAGGTTGAGGCTATTTTTCTTCTGGGAAAAACCAGAATTGGTGTTATTGACAGCTAACACGAAAGGCTGGATACACTCAACAGGTGGTTAAGCACAGAGTTTGTTTATTTCTAGCTGTTTTTGTATCTTCATTAACCTTGCCCCCAAAGGCACACTGCCATCACGTCGTATCAGGTTCTTTCAAGACAGACTAGACTACCAAGCAGCCGCCGAAATAGATGTTCTGAGACAGCGCTATCAGTCGTGAACGTGACTGTTCATTGGAACTTTTGGCGAAGTTGTGGATTATGAGAGGCTTATATGGCGTCAAATGTCAGCGTTTTCGCGTTCGGCCTTTTTTTTTCGGAAACGTACTAGACTTAGTTTCACACGGTCTTAGGACATCTGTCAACCGTGAGCCTTGGCGGTTCAGCGTTTTGTAGTGATGTCTGGGAGCTCTCACAAGTGCACACTATCACAGCATCTCCTCTTTCTTTATCTTCTTCAAAAGGCTTAGTCCCAATAAGACACAAAGTGTGTGCTTTTCCAGCTACGCTCTCACCCTTTGGTTGACAGAAGCCTTGTAACCAGTTTCACAAATTCTCCAAGTCCACCGAAAGAGCGGCCTGGTTTGACCACAACCGAGCGATCGGGTCAAGAATCTGATGTTACTTCTCTCCTGCAATACTTCTTGCATCTTCTCGATAGATCTGATTCACAAAATAAGAGATTTTTCCTTGCCTCTCTTCAACTGATAAATTGAATTGCAAAAGAATACTGCGGCCTAATGTGAGTGTACGGTGGTGCCAGGAGGCCTGCGTTGCAGCGGCGTGGCGCAATAAATGGAGCCACGCGCGGGATATGCACTCTAAGTCGCGCAGAAAACGCAAGCCACGCGCGGAATATGCACCCTTAGTCGCGCAGAAAACGCAAGAGTCCTAGTTCATGCGCGACGTTGAAGTTGGCTTCATAAACGACGCTCGAAGAGACATGTGGTAATCTTTCATAGTAAGCATAATCACATTCAAGAGCTTACAAAAGTATGAATATTTGAGAACATGAAACTAATTTCAAGAGGTTGACATATTTTCAAATACATAAATTTTGACTTGTACCATTATTATTTCGAGCTGTATGATTCGAGCTTTCAGAAAAGCCATTTTCTCTCTTGGAAAACTGAACAGTATTAAAAATTTCCAAACCAATGTAATTTCAAGCTGGAGCAAATCTGCAACCTTTTATTCCTCTTTTTCCGCTTCTATCTACCTCCAACAACTACTTATATATTCCTTCAATCCCTAAGAACGTTATTTCCACATTTTTTATGAAGCGTTTTTTTTTGTGCTAACAACCTTATCCGACCCGATATCCTTCCATGAAAGTAAGGTGAATCCCTCTGAATGATTTCATATCACACAAGGCTTCTCTAAGGCCGCGTTCATAGTTCGCGACTCCGGAGATTAGGATAGTACGCGACAATGAAAAACATATGTAT